ATTTTAATAAGATGTCTCCTAAATTACAAGCTTTTATCAGACATTTAAAATATAACATTTACAAGTGATTAAACGAAGAAGATGGGGATACAGATGAAGTGGCAGCTTCTGAAAGTGAATCCTGATTTTTTTTTTACATGTGTATCAAAAGCTTTAAAATAATCGCACTGCAATAAGCAGCTATTCCAGGAAATAATCACTCATGTACCAAAAGATATATGTGAATATATGCCTTCCTCAGTAACATTTATGATCAGTAAAATGTAGCATGATGCTAGCAAAAAGGTAGTACTTGGCCGTATTATAAAGCAATAAATATGTTTATGTATTTATTTACAAGGTAACTTAGAATTCACACCAAACTGTTAATCAAGGTTTTCTCTGGGGAATGAGATAATGGATAGCATTAATATTCTCTCTTTGTAACATTTTCTAAATTTACCAAAATGAGTATACACGAATTTTATAATATAACGTTAAATATTTATGGTTAAATGGTTAGATTATAAAATTTAGTCATTATAAAACATAAACATTTTTTTTTTTACCAGAAACCTTTAGTGAGAAAAAACAATATGCACCAAAATTATTAATATAAGGATATTCAGTAACTGGTTATACTTCTTTAACTGTTGGGAAATAACTAGAAATGGGTTTTATTTTTGTATTCCTATGGTTTCGCATGTGCTCCATTTGCCGTTCACTGCTCCATAGTCAATCCCATGGTGTGAGCAGTGGCTGACGTTTGCTCTGCTCAGCTGACTGGCAGCTATCATTCCAATGCCAGGCTTATCTTTATGCAAATTTCCCAAAAGGTCACCATTTATGCGTGTAAATTCTGAAGGGCACTAACTCTACAGCTGACAGATTCTGACAGCCACTATATCTCCAAGAATGGAATAAGCAGGGATAACTGTCTGAATAATTAATGTGCTTTTACTCTGCCCATGGCCAGCTTTTACATTCTGCACTTCTGACTGGATTTTTTTTTTTTAGATTAATTAGAAAATGCGCTTTCATAGCAAACCAAAGCTTTCCTTTTGAATTCAGTATACAATGAGTAAAAAAAAAATGTGAGATACCTTCAGTTTAAAGTTTTATATCTGTAGAGAGCACTCAAACCTAAATATAAAAATTAACATCTCACTCTGGATATTATTTCTGTAAAAAACAAGCATTATTATTTCCGTATAAACTTATTTTGTAAAAACACACAACCTGCAAGTCAGTAAAGGATGCCACCCACAACCAGGGTGCCAGTTTCAAACCTTAGACTCATTCCACTGAGATGTCAACTTTCTCTATTGAAAAGCCATCATTCACTAAGACTTCTTAATTTGACCTCTGAAGAGCCTCAAATGTGTTAATACTTCTCAATCCCCAATGTTTCTGCCTTAAATCCAATCTTCATTATACCTTACCTGAATTATTGTAAATATTCCCAGATAATCCTCCTGCTTTTAGCCACATAGTCACCCACATGCCTCCAGAGTTAATATCCAAAACCATGAACAAAGGCCATATATATATATATATATATATATATATATATATATATATATATATATAAAACAGGAAAAATATTTAGAATATATGGATATATTAATTGACTAATAGGACGAGATAAACAACACATATGTAATGTAGTAATAAATATGTGGTCTGGAGAGGAAAGCAGGGGAAGAGGACAGCGGGTGTCCCCAGGCAGTTTTGATTTTTAAATAGGATGTCCAGGGAAGGCTGCCATGAAAAGAGAGAATTCGAAGCCTAGGGAATAAGTCATGGAAGTAACTAGGGAAAATGTAACTGGCATGGGGAACAATGGGCTGAGGTACAGTGGCTTTGTGTATTCAGCCAACTGCAATGCAAACAGGGCAGCTGGACAGGAGGTTGAAGACAGAACATGTCTCTGAGTGAGGTACAATAAAGACAGTGAAGCAACAACAACCAAAAGGCTGTAATAATTCTCCAGGTGAGAAGGGATTGTAATGACCAAGGAGGTGATCAGTAGTCAGAGAGAAAGTACAGACATATGTGGAATATGCGCAAAAGAAAATCCAATGATGAGTCTAAGGACTTATGCCTAAGGATTTGGATGAATAAGCCATTAACCAAAACCTTTTTTTGTGTGTGTGTGTGTCTGAATAGACTTTATAAATCTGAAAACTAGTTTGACACTGTGGTTAAATACATTCCAAAGCGTCATTTACTGCGGTTAATATTTCTCCAGTACATCTTTCCTTTGACTAGTCTATTTAAAATTGATAATAATTCCATTAATGCACTTATCAAAACACATGCAACATCAGTACACTAAAATGCTCTTAAAAATAAACAATGCCATCAAAATCCAATGAGATTCTACTTGACATCTATTTGGATGGCTATAATCCAAATGATAGACTGTAATAACTTTTGGCAAGGATATGGCGAAATTGGAACGCTCACATATTTCTGTTGGAAATGAATATTGGTGCAGCCACTTTGTAAAATAGTCTTGACATTCCTCAAAAGGTAAAATATAATTACCATGTCACCCAACAATTTTACCCTTAGGTATAGATCTAAAAGAAATGAACACATATAACTATACAAAAACTTGTGAACAAATACTTAAAGCAGCAACATTACCAAAAGCCAAAATGTGTAAAAAAAAAAAAAAAAAAAAAAAAAAAAAAAAGGCCATCAACTAATAAGTGGATAAAAATGTGATATATACATATCCTCTAATGGAATGTTATTCAGACATAAAAAGAAATTAAGTACTAATTCATACAACAAGGATGAACCCTAAAAACATTATGTTCAGTGAAAGAACCATACAAAGGGGTACGTATTGTATAATTCTATTTATGCAGTAAACCCACAGAGGCAGAAAGTATATTAGTTTGCCAGAGTAGGGCATGGTGAGGGAAGTAATTTTTCATGAGTACAAGGTTTATTTTAGGAATGAAAGAAATGGTTTGGATTAGACAGAAATGGTTTGGATTTGGTAATATTCATACAATATTGTGAATATATTAATACAAAAACCCATGGAATTATATACATTAAAAAGGTGAATAATTCAGTTATAAAACAAGTAAGTAAATCATTCAACACTAAAAATTTCTATGATTCCTACAGAAACTTCATATTTAGGGAGCTATAACAGTCATTATAGTAAATATTATAATCTTAATTCTTTTTTTTATTTTCCTCCAGGAGAGGTTCTAAAATGTTCTACTCAAAACTCTATGGGTACCATTAAGTTAATAATCCATTCTAGGGATTAGGATGGAAAACTAAGCTTTATTAATCAGGAAGGCAGGCAGGTGAGACACTGGGAGCCAGCAGGATTGGGCCTAAAAGGGCAGTCGGATATCCCTTGAGGGATTCCTGATTGGAGAGGGTGCAGGCTGGGCTGAGGGACACACATCCCCTGTGCACAAATTTTGTGCACTGGGCCTCTAGTCCTATATAATAAGGAGCTAATGTGCTAATTGGAACAAACAGGTGAACAACCTTCCAGACCACCTTCCAGATGAAGCCTTGGCTCTGAGAGACTGCTGGGGGCTGCAAGAGCCAGCCAGAGCTGTGAGGGCCAAGTCCCTTGTATGAATTTCGTGCATCAGGCCTCTAGTTTAAAATAACTTACATTGTAGACACTACAAAATCACTCTCCAGAAATTAATTTCAGAAATTAATTTCAGTAACCTCAAACAGACAGAAAATTTCAACCTCACTGTTGAATGATTATTATAAAGGCCTACTTTATCGGCAAATTGAGGAGACAGAGGTAAGCTATGTGGACAGGGACAGGGATGGGGGAGGGATGGAAAATAAAACTAGGTGGAGTTTCTAAGGCATCCCAACTGGGCAGGGAGGGCTAGAGGCATGAACTTGAAAATGTATGTATATTGGTAAGACAGGCAGATGAAGATGACCAATCACAAAGCAGTACAGTGTAGAAACTAATCCCAAGTATGTTGCCAGGGAAAAATTCTTTGAAAATACCAATCAGGAGCTAGCAAGGCTGTTTCCACTCCCTAAATTAAATGGTTCGTATTTCCTCTTGCCTTCTCTCTTGCCCCCAGCATGTAATGGTTCATTCCTGTGGCAAAGAGCACGTCCCCTGCACCACGTGGCTTATGGCCATGTGGGCCTCCACACATGGGGTAACAGACTGTAATTAGCTTGGATGCTGAACAGCTCCCGACTGTAACATGGAAAGGAGGCTCCAGCCACTGTCCTGCTCCTGGAGCCACAATGCACCTCTCCCAGGACCTGCTTCTCCCAATAAACTCTGGTTCTATTAATCGTTTTTGTCCACAACTTCATTCATGACAAGAACCAGGCTCAAAACACCCACAAGTTTTTATTTCAAAATGATTTTCTAAAGAACATGTATATACGTATGCCGGCCTAAGGTTATGTTCTTCAAAATCTTTTATATCGAACTCTATAAATATATTTGGGATAAATAAAAAACATTACTTTTGAAAATAATTTACTTGCTAATATTCAATTTCCTAATATTCAAATTTATTATCATGGCTATGTAATGGAGAACAACTGGATAAATTAAACAAAAATAATTTTTATTGTATTGAAATGCATGCAGCAATTAAAAACAAAATCCTGAATAGTTATTAGAGATTTAAGGTAATATAACTATTTGCCTTTCCAAAGAGGTAGAGAGCCAATATTATTTTTTCTTTTTTTATTGATTAATGTATTACATAGGTGTCCTTATTTTTAGTAGCTCATTTATATTTAATATAGCTGAAATATAACTCCTTACCACAGCAAATACTTTGAACTGTATTATTTACATATCTGTCCACAAGGAATATCAATTCATTTTCCAAAACATGTAAAATTTAACTCTAGTAACTCATTATATAATATAAATTTTCAATATGTCACTCATAAAAGAATATACTAACTTGAATATAAACATGTTAAGTATACTTGTAAGTTACTAACAAATGGATTGGCAACAATAATCTACTAATTACCTTAATGTGATTTTCAGTTGTTAAACATCCATGTTCTTTTCCTCCAATTTAGTGAACATTTGAATACTTCTGTAAAAACAGACAAAAAATAGATTAAATTAATGATGAAAAAATACTTATTTTATGGCTATACTTATAGTATTATTTGAGTAGGTTTTATATTTCCATTGTTTGCCAGTGTCGTTTTCCCCCATAATGTTCAAGGTATAGCAGAAAAACCATGGTGTAAAAACAAAATTCAATTTACATATGACATTTCCTCTATGATCTACTTCACTACAATGTTCACTCAGAAAAGGTAATGAATTTGGTACATCAAAAATTTAAATATTCTCCTAATTTAAAAAACACATTATTTTTTCAAACATATTCTGAGATTTCCAATAAATATCCTTTTATCTTGCAACAGGCTCTTCAAGCTAAGACCCTAGAATGTATCTAATTATTTTTACCTTAGAGAGAACTGCTGTGGACAACAAACAAACAAAGGAAAACCCACACATCAAAAAAAGCACAAAACACAAAACATGCAACTCCATAGTACATTTTGCTATCTAACCATATACTAGGTATATACACCAACATACACACATACATCTATTCTCTATGTAATAATGTGTACATACACTGAGGCTGTAATTATAATAATGTAAACAAATTCAGATTTTAATCAGATGAGAAAGAAATAAGTAAAAAATGTAAGTTTACTTAAATGGTAGATTGACAAGAGGTACTGTCTTCATTTTCTTTAGATTTCCACAATGTTCTTATATTTCTTTTTTTATTGTTTTCTTACTGAACTAATAATCAACACATCAGACATTTCACACAAAAAAAAGCATGATATCATTCAGAGTGTTTCTTTGGAATTTCAATGTTTTCTAATGGTTCTATCAACCAGTCTTCAATTTTTAAACTTTCTGGTGATACAAGTGCTTCCTACATGGATCAGGTGCATTAGTTAATTATGGTACTTAGTATTTATGCTATTAGGAGTATTATGCTATTAGCAGGAAGTTAATTAACTATATACATGCCAAATAATAACATTTCAATATCTATGGATAAGGAATTAGATATTGTCAGGTATTTTACTAGCATAAAATAAAAATTAAGTTTTTTTGCAAGATCTCTATTGATTACAATTGCACACACACAAATAGAGGAACATATTCACTAAATGTATTATATTTTGTTTGAGGGTTTGAAAATATGAAAGCAATGGAACTCACTAAATTTTTTCTAGTTAATATCTACCCATATGTGGCCAATTTGTGATATGTATATATATATATATATATATATATATATATATATATATATATATATATTCTTTACATCAAAAGCAATCTAAGTCCATATTTAAAGACAGGCTTGCTACTAAACAGGCAATTGAAAGCAATTCTTTAGTCAACTTCTTGTATTTCCCTGCACAACCATTCTTTCAACGAACAGATCATATTCAATAAATACTGGCTGTTTAACTAAGGTAGTTTTCTCTGTTTTTTTTTTAAGACCACGCATATCTCTTCATAACTGATAATCATGGGTAATGACAATGCAAACCCTCCTACAGATATCCTCACCCTTTATATCTTTTTACTTCCTTTTAGGAAACACATTCTGAAATCCAAACATTAGTATTTACAGAGTTTTTCGTGTATCACCAGACCTACCACAGACAGAACTAATCAGATCTTCCCTGACATTCATGCTGAACCCTCTACCGTAACATGAGTTGTTTGAGAACAGGAAGTATGACTACTTTTTCATTCTAAACTACCACTCCTTACAGAACTGAGAACTAAGTGAAATAAGCCAGTCAAAGACAAAGACAAGTATCACATAATCTCAGTTATATACATAGAATCTAATGAGCAAATAAAGCAATTATCAAAATAGATCCAGAGACACAGAAGCATGGACCAGACTGTCGAATCTCAGAGGAAAGGCAGGAGTGAGGTGGGTGGTTGGAAAGATCAACAGAAGAACTTGTATGCATAGCTCATGGACACAGAAAAGTGTGGTGAAGGCCTAGGGGGAGGAGGATATGGGAGGGATGGAAGGAGCCAATGGGTTATGGGGAATTAAAGAGGACATCTGTAATACTTTCAACAATAAAGATAAATATTTTTTAAAAGGGCCTTAAAGTGCTGTGTAAACAAAACATTTGCATTTTTTTGGTTAAAAATATTATTAAAAACGTCTATATTGGCCTCCCATAAATTGAAATCAAAAACAAAAATGCCCATTACATGTGCCTTTGAATTTGTAATTATCTTTATAGGACATTTTGCTTTCCTTTTAGAATAGAAAAACAGAGCATCTTCAATTTACAGTTTGACTAGTCAACATCTAAGTGATTCACTCTCTGAACTGCATCCACTTAAGGCACTTAAGAGTTAGCAGACAGCTTAAAGGGAAAAAAACAAGTTCACCCAGGATCCCTTAGCTTCCTAAGAGCTAGAGGCCAAGTCTGAGTTAAAACATAAACATGGGAAAGGAAAAAGGCAGAAGACAAATAGTAAGAGAAATAGAAAACTTAACAGTCAGAAGAAGGTATTATATCCATGATACTGTCTATCAATATGAACTAATAAAAAAATGTCTAATTAATAAAACTGGCATAAAAGGGATTGTAGAAAGGAACTGCTGTTATTATTTTTTGAGCAAAGGGGTCAAAAAGTGCTGACAAGGGATATAAAAATTTGGTGTGTTTCTGATAAGAGTCAATCCATACAAATATATTTTCATTACTGTACAAATGACATAAAAAAGTAATTCCCTAGCAATTAGTGTTGTGGTTCACTCTAGGTCTTTTGAATTACATGAAATACTTTGGTTATGAGTACTAGCCTGTTTTGATAAAAAAAAAAAATTAAACTTAAATTGACCCAAGCTTTAGATAAAACCTTAAAAGCAAACACATCAAAAATGGAAAATAAAATAAGATTTGATTCACTGATTAAAATGTAAACACCAGTAAAAATAAATGTTCAAGGTAAGTTTTCTAATACTAAGATAGCAAATTTACAAAGTAGAGCAACTTCATTCATTATTCATTCATTCCTTCATTCACCCATCCATCAAAGATGTGCTGATTGCCCAGGCACAGTTCTAGGTGCCGTGGATCCAGCAGTGAAACAGACAGACAAAAGTAACACTCCAAGCGTTTATACTTTCTTTCTAGATAGGGTGTAAGGGCAAAATATGGGAGAAAGAGAAAGACGGAGAGTTTCAGAAATAGAGACACATTTTTCATTGAAAAATGTTTCTAATTTTAAACACTTTACTTTTGAACACTTTATATCCTCAGTTAACCATAAAAATTTTGTATTTTGTTTTAAGGATTGAAACACTCTTCTTATGTCCTCACTTAACCTTTACCAAAAAAAAAAATGAGGTTGATATGAAGATTATCTTTATTTTACAAATAAATACTCTGAGACGCTGAGGGTAAAGCCAGAGTTTGAACACAAGTGACCCGAAATCGGTCTATACTCTCAGCTTCTAAAAGAGCACCATACTGATTACGGCTGTCTGTGTTCGAAAAGAGAATATTTATAAGCAAAGCAAAAAATAAATTTCCTGATTGTTTTTTCAAGAAGTAACCATCAAAATTTCATAACACTTAATACTGTTAAAATGCACTTTCCTAGTCTGGTATATAAATGAGACTGCAAAAAATCCAGTTAAAAATTAGTCTGGAATTGAGACAAAATATATATATTGCTGTCTTTGTATGACATTAATTACAAAATTAGGTGACTTATTCCACTGAACTACCAAATAAAGGTTCATAAGAAATTAGAAAGTGACATGTACAAATATATTTTTAAGAGATTATTCTTATATCAATTAAATAGTTTTTAGTGTAAAATTATAGTGACATTTTTTAAAACATCTGTAAAGACTGAGATTTTCTTTTTAAATAAAATAAACGTTTTTACTGATTCCATTCAAATTATTTTTTCAAATTTTTTCTTAGTCTATCTACTTAGTCTATGGGTTATCTTCAAATATCTACTTTCATTCCTTATTGATAATCACCATCATGCACTACCATATTATCTCTATGGAGTGTTTTATTTTTCATTACGTTTTCAATACCATAAGCTTTATAGCCATGTGACAAAGGCAGAGAAGAAATACTTTGTTTTACAGAGTACAAAGCGGAATTTATAAAGATTACCGTGATTAACAACTGAATAGTGCAAGATGAGATTCCAAGGTATTTTCCTCTTTATTTGGTCTCTCTCCTGCCACTACATGTTTTCACTATAGGCCCTATACTTGGCATATTGCAAAGATTTTCTTATTGCATCATTCTGTCCCCCCTCAAATCTATGCTGGTAAATGTACAGGGTAATCTGAAACCATGTTTTCCTCATGTAGGCCTTCTGCTCAGCAATCCACAAAAGCACCCTATGGTTATCCAGAGCCTTGTTTTCAAGACCCTCTATAGGAAGAATGTTCTGTTCAAATGTAAACATTTTTTGGATACAACTGCACCAGAATGAATTTCTACGTCAGCCAGCTTCTGGCGCTGACAGTCCCCGCAAACGGATTACAGTGGACACAGAGGCTGGTTAATGCAATGACTGTACTAAAAATGCTAAATTCATTTGTCTTTACTTACACATTGAATACTATCATAATACAACACTACAGTCTCATTCTCCCAGGAAATTTGCCTCAACACAATCACATCTAAACTCCTGTTGCATTTTAAATCGGGAGTGCAACCTTCAGTGCTAACTGTACCACATTTTCCTTGTGTGATGTTTTATGGGCCCCCAAAAGTAAGCCATTGTAAAAAGGAGAGTGTCTAGGGGCAAAACTTTTAAATCAATAACAAAGCTGGATAAAATTTCCAAAACCAACAGTTTCAGTACTATGGAAAATGACCATCACAAAAGAGATTAACAAGAGTTTATTCCAGAAAAAAATACTCTGCTTCCAGTTATAACAGTAGAGAATCTGTGGAATTCCATCCTGGAAATTATTTTAGGTCAGACAACAAATCATTTTTTATGAAGACATAATAACAAATCTTGATAAATTTAAAA